GTGTTCTGAGTGTAGGGTATGTAAGGGGGGGGGAAGGAGAAGGAGGGGTACATAAGTATGCTGTAGAATCCTTGCCCTCACAATCTAATTAAATTAAGAAAGCAGATATACTGATATGAAATAGTTAAATTACAATGTAAGACCTTCTGGTACTATATGAGTACTATAGAAAATAAATGCTGCAGGAGCTCAAGGTGCTTATTTTACCCTTAAATACAGCTTGAGAAAGCTTTATGGATGAGGTGGGACTTGAATCCCTTCAAAGATAAATAGGATGTACATAGAAGAAAAGGAGAGGAGAGAATAGGAGAAAAAGGCATTCTAGCCCCTAATACCAGAACAATGTGATGAAGAAACCTGATCAAACAGGAAGGAGACCACTAATGCCCCCTATTCTGGCCAAGATTACCAAGCTTATTGGAGCCACTCCCCCTCCTATACTCCACAATCCAGTCAAACTGGCCTTCTGCTCTGCTTCTCAAATACAACACCCGAGTTGGCATCCCTGTGCCTTTGGACTGACTGTCCCCCATGCTTGGAATGCACTCCACCTCACCTGTGCCTCATAAAATCCCTCTCTTCCTTCAGAACCATTCCTGATTTCCCCCAACTGCTGGTACTCCACCTCCCAAGCTCCCTTGTATTTAATTACTTTGTGTTTATTTATTTTTTATTTATTTGTATTATTTATACATCAGGATGTAATTTCCCTGCTTGGGAATAGAGATTATTTAATTTTCTGCATTTGTATCTCCTGTGCTTCCCACAGTGCCTGGTATATAGAAGCTGCTAAATAAATGTTTGTCAATTGATTCAGATCCATCCATACAGTAGGAAAGAAGAGAACTGGCTTTTTAGGTTGAGGGGAAAACATTGTTCACCTCTTAGTAGCTGCTAAGATCTCAATTTTAAGATTCTAAGATTTTTAAGATTCCAGAACCCCCAAATTCTACAATTCTAAGATTGTTTGGTTCCTTGGTTCCATGTTTCATTGTTTCTGCCATTTCCAATCACTCAGAGTGGCTGCCTGATACTTGAAGCACCAGCCCAGCTTGGGGAGAAATGGTCCTTTTCCCCCAGTACCACCTGGTGAGGCTGACCCAACATTCCTATGACTGACAGTGTTCTTTAAGGGACAAAACTTCTATCTTCCTCAAAGCAAGGACCTTTTAGTTTCACCAGGTTTTTAACTAAACCACTAGAACAGTCTCACATCACTTCATCTAAATAGGCTAAGGAAAGCATCTGACATTCCCCATATACCCAACCAGCATCCCTGCCCAAGGGTCATCCCTCCCTACTTCTCCACCTCCCTCTCTTCCAAACCCCCATCTTGAGCTAGCCTCCCCAGACTCACTTTGGCCCAGATGAGATGACAGGAATCTACCCATCCACTTAACACCTCCATATGAGTCCGGGGTGAGGGCCAGACAGCCAAGGTTGGGGCCAGAGAGCAAGTGTCTCCTTCCTGCTTGTTTCCTAATGACTATAATGGGGAGGGGAGGACAGCTCCTGAGAGGTGAATGCAGCCCAACCTGTTTGAAGCCATGAAGCTCCCCTGTAGGGCTGGGGATTTGCCAGGAGTTGGCATCAGGTGACTTTAATAAGGAGAGTGCAAAGAGAGCAACCATGGTAGAAAGATGGGTCCTAAGAGATGAAGTGGGGCCTAGACAGTGGAGAAGGTGGCCTGTCACTTTGAAGAAATCTCACTATGTCCCAGTTCCTACATCTGTAAAGTGAGTGATTTGATATCCAGAAGCCTATTGGCCCCATCTCAACCAACTCCTGTGAAATAAACTATATAAATTGAAAGCCGGCAATATCAAGCTGGGACCTGGAGTGTGGATTATTTGGGATTTTATTTGGAAGAGACACCCTCTGAGTACTGGACAATGAGCCCCAGAATACCCCAGCTTCAACCCTAAAAGGGGCCTTCAGAACCAAGGGCAGAGACAGGCCTCACAAAGACTCTACAAGCATAGGTTATGAGTGACTTATGGCCCCTTCTCTGCAAGATCAGTCATGAAGTGGGCTTCTAGAGCCTTTGCTATTTGCAGGCTTGTGCGAAAGGAAGGAAGGTACATAGGGGTTCCGGATCCTCTATCTTGTCTGAGGGCAACAAGAAGTCCAGTAGCCTGCCTGTACTCTTTGCTCTGGGTGGCTCAGGGCTGGCTTAAGAAGCCAGAATAGGAGCAGTCTTAAAGACCTTCTTGTACTGCCCTCCCTCCTCAGTGGTTCCATTGAAAAGATTCGTGCTCACTGGACAGCATGGTCATTTGCTTGGACCTAGATTCTGCCAGGGAGTCTCAAACATTACACAATCCATCTACTCCACAACCAGAAGCCTTTTCTGGGAAGAGTTGTCAGTCAATTACTCAATCGTAAACATTAATTAAGCATATACTATGTACCAGGGCACTGTGCCAAGCACAGGGGATACAAAGAGAGGTAAAAGACAGTCCTTGCCTTCAAGAAGCTCACAGTCTAATGGGGAAGACAATGTGCAAGTAACTATGTGCTAACAAGCTATAATACAGGATAAATTGGAAATAATCAATAGAGGGAAGGCATTAAAATTCAGGGGACTAGTAAAGGCTTCCTGTAGAAGGTTGGGGTTTTAGTTGACACTTGAAGGAAGCCAGGGAAGCTGAAGAGGAGGGAATGCATTCCATTCATGGGGAACAGCCAATGAAAATGTCTGGAGTCTGGAAATGGAGGGTCTTGTTTGAGAAACAGCAATGAGACCAGTATCACTGGATCTAAGAGTACCTTGGTTGAGGAGTATTAAGATGTAAGAAGACTGGAAAGGTCAGAGATGGGGAAGGCAGGTTATGAAGGACCTTGAATGCCAAACAGAGGATTTTATATTTGATGCCGAAGGTGACTGGGAGCCAACAGAGTTGTGCCAGGTAGAATAACACACAGAAGACTGGATTTGGGGTCAGAAGCCCTGGGTTCAAAGTCCTGTTCTCCTAATTACTATGTGATCTTTCAGAAAATCATTTAAACTTAATTTCTCTGAGTCTCCAATTTCTACTCTGTAAAATGAGGAGGTTGGATCATGTTATCTCCAAGGTGCTTTCTATCTTTAATTCCTCTCACCTTATAATAATAATAATAATAATAATATTACCCTAGCACAGATTAAAGGCTGGAAAGGACATTAGAAGTTATCTTGGGGCAGCTAGGTGGTGCAGTGGACAGAGCTCCGGCCTTGGAGTCAGGAGGACCTGAGTTCAAATCCAGCCTCAAACACTTGACACTAGCTGTGTGACCTTGGGCAAGTTATTTAACCCCAATTACCTAACAAAAAAAAAAAAAAAGAATATTAGAGCTAAGAGACCTTTGAGATCATCCAGTTTAACCCCTAATTTTATAGATGGTGAAACAGGGGCCCAAAGATGGTAATAATTTGACCAGGGTTATATAGTGAGTTAGTGGCAAAGTCAATACTCTGTCCAGTCCTCCCATGAATATTTCACATGGGGGCAGCTAGGTGGCGCAGTGGATAGAGCACTGGCCTTGGATTCAGGAGGACCTGAGTTCAAATCTGGCCTCAGACACATAAAAACACTTACTAGCTGCCACTTAACCTCATTGCCTAACAAAACAAAACAAAACAAAAAATAGGGGGGCAGCTAGGTTGCACAGTGGATAGAGCACCGGCCCTGAAGTCAGGAGGACCTGACTTCAAATCTGGACTCAGACCAAACACTTGACACTTACTAGCTGTTTGACCCTGGCCAAGTCACTTAACCCCAATTGCCTAAAAGAAAAACAAACAAACTAGAAAAAATATTTCACATGAAGTCTCCCCAAATGTTTTGGCCACTTTTCTCCAGATCTCTTGACTGGATACCTATGAAATAAATAAACTGTCCATTGGCAAATTAAGTCCCCTCCTTGCAGCAACTAGAACGAGGGCTTCTTGAGTCTGAGAGGTTTAAAAATGAGGAGGAGACTTCATAAGTTTCTTCTGTCCATTCCTTCATTTGGCAAATGCCTCTCCAGATGAGTGATATTGTGCTATTCTAGTATCATTAATAGGGAGGGGAAAGGAAATCCACACAAAAGACTTACGTGTCCAAAAATAGCCTTTATTAAAGGATATTCTATATAGGCAACTGAGGCTTCAGGAGGGCTAGAGATGGAAGTGCAATCCTCCAAACTAATCCATGAATTGGGGTAGTAGGTAGTATGGCAGTTCCAAAGATGGCTTTCTAGCTTTCATTTTTTTTTTTATAGGAAAAGTACAATAATTGATATGTGTCAGAGATGCTCCCTCCTTTTTACTGAGGTAGGGTGGGGTGTTCCAGAATGGTGAATCTATGCTTTGGCATTTTTGAGAACAGTAATTGGCTGAAGATGATGAATATATGGAAATGGAAGGGGGATATGGAGGGTATTATCTGTGATGTTGCATTCTATAGGGCTGTCTGGGCCCAAATGGACATTTGGGAAAAGAATTATTGGAAAAAAGAGAGAGAGAGACCTTCTTGGTTGGCTTTAGAGTTACAATTAAAAGCAAGGAAAAATGAATGTTTATGGAATGCATGCCAGTTTTCTGGATAGTTCCAGCAAAATGGCCTTGGCTTATTCTTTCAAGGGAAGAAGCCAAGGTCTTACAGATGTGCTAATAGGTTTTGTCCTTGGGATGTTACATGTGAAATGTCCATTCAAATTGCATAGGTAAGGGGGAATAAATTTCCAACATACAAATATTCTAATGGGATTAAAGGCCTTATTTATTAAAATATCTATATATAAATATGTATGTGCACATATATGTTCAATAACAAGCAATACTGACTTATTTATATTCCTTAGTGAGGAAGCATAGCATCTATAATTACAAAATTCTAACAAGCAAAAGTGTACACCTATCTTTGTACACCTAACAAAAAAGGGTTATAGAATTATAGCAACTAGACAATAAGGAAAACATTTCATCAATTAAAGATTTTTGGCCTTGCCCCAATTGGATATCCCTCCTTTTTGCCACATGACCAGCCCAACTCCTTTTTCAGTCATAAATTTCTCTGATGATAATCTTTACACTGCATTTTTAAGGTAAATTTTTAATTTGGGATGTGTCAAAGCTGACTTATCCACTATGCACTTCTCCATTACTCTTTGAATGACAAAATTTTAATCCTTTGGTATTAAGATTTTAATATTCTACAAACAGCAAGATATACAGCACCATTAGAAGAATAAGAGAGGGACCTTTGTTTTAGAGAGAAGCTTAGGATTTCATGCTGAGTCTAAACTGAAGAGGAATTCCATATACATAACAAGGGGATCCACATTGTTCTGTTATTTGGATGACATTGAGTTTATTGCATCAAGCCTTGGAACAATGCAAAAACTACTAAATGAAATGCATTGTTACTCAAAATAGTTTAGCCTAACTATCCACATAGGACAAACCAAGATGATGAAGAATGCCCATTATTGAGGCTATGATATGCATTTGGATGTAACAGTTTTGACTTTTTTGTCTTCTTCTGAGTTTGTATTTTGATCTCCCCTGTCACCATAGTAACTTTCTATAGTCAGGATCTTTTTCTGCTGTTTACTCACTTTTCTAGACTTTTTCTTGACTTTTAACTCTATGCTAAAGTGGGGCTCGCTTCCAGAGTGAAAGGGGTACTGTGCCAAGCTTCAGGTTTTTTGTGTAGCTATTTTCAGAGATAATTCTGGGGACCTGTAAGTTTTCAGTTCTTCCAAGGTGGTATGACCTGGGGAGAGGTGTGTTTACTACTCTCCTGGCCTATGCTCTGGTCTGTGAATAACCATAAGCATTCTTTTCCATCCTGGAACTGTGCCCAGGGTCCTAGCTCCTCTGCAGCTACAAGCTCTGGTGTGCTAGTGTTCCTTCTCACTGTGGGACTGAGGACTGCGACCCAGATCCAAGTATGGGCAACACAACAGAGTTCTGTGCCCAGAGCCAGCTAGGGGACCAATTGTCTCCTTCTGACTAGTTGTCCGACCCCCTTACCACCTGTGGACTGAGAGGTCTGGGAACTGCTACTGCTATCACTGATTCAGTCACCCCCAAGGCCTACTGCTGGTTTGCTGGGACTTGACATGTGCTAGACTGTGCTCCACTCTCACCCTCGTGCAACAAACCTTTCCTGCCAACTTTTTTTTTTTTTTTTAGGCAATTGGGATTAAGTGACTTGCCCAGGGTCACACAGTTAGTAAGAGTGAAGGGTTTGGTCTGAGGCTGGATTTGAACTCAGGTCCTCCTGACTTCAGGGCCAGTGATCTATCCACCGTGCCACCTACCTGCCCCTCCTGCCAACTTTCTAAGTTGTCTTAGGCTGGAAAACTGTTTCACCCATCTTTTTGTGGGTTCTGCCACTCCAGAATTTATTTTGAGGCATAATTTAAAGTTGTTTGGAGGGGTTTTGGGAAGAGTTCAGGCAAATTCCTGCCTTTTCTCCACCATCTATGA